GATGTCAGGGGGTGTGGCATATGCTAATGAGTTATGCTAATGAGTTCCCCTAGCTCTTTTTCTACGAAACGGCCCCTGGTCAACCCTACCAGTATGCTGTGTTTCCTTCAGTGGCGGCTGATCCAGGCTAAGAAAAATGGCCTAATCCGGGCTAAGGAAACAGCTGATCCGGGCTAAGAAAAAGAGCCAGTTTGGTGTAGTGGTTAGGAGTGTGGACTCTACTCTTGGAGAACCAGGTTTGATTCCCCACTCCTCCACATGCAGCTGCTGGTGTGACCTTGGGTCAGCCACAGTTCTCTCAGAGCTGTTCTGGAAAGAGCAGTTTCTCTCAGAGTTCTCGCAGCCCCACCTGCCTCACAGGGTGTCTGTTGTGGGGAGGGGAAGAGAAAGGAGGCCCTAAGCCGCTCTGAGCCTCCTGAGAGTGAAGGGCAGGGTATAAATCCAATCTCCTCTTCTTCTTCTTCTTCAACGCTTTCCCACCCGGTCCCCCTTGTTTTGCAGCGGGAGAAGAAGCGCGTCCTCTTCCTCTACAATGAGATGCTGCGGCAGCGGGTGGCCTTCATCACGGTGCAGCGGAAACGCATCATCCAGAGAGCCCGGCGGCACAAAAGACTGGTGAGTCGCATTTCATAGGAGGGCTGTGGGCTGTGGCTCCGTGGCAGAGCCCCCGCTTGGCAGGCGGAAGGTCCCAGGTCCCGTCCCTCGGCCATCTCCGGCTAAAAGAACGAGGCAGGAGGGGGTGCAAAAGACCTCTGCTTGGCAGTCTGCCAGTCAGAGCAGACAATACTGTTGGAGTGAGGGACTCAGTTTGGAGAGACAGTCTGGTGTGGTGGTTAAGTGCGCGGACTCTAATCTGGGAGGACCCACTCCTCCACTTGCACCTGGCTGGATGACCTTGGGCAAGCCGTAGTTCTGTCAGAGCTGTTCTTGAGAACCATTTTGGTGTAGTGGTTAAGTGTGCGGACTCTAATCTGGGAGAGCCGGGTTTGATTCCCCACTCCTCCACATGCAGCCACTGGTGTGACCTTGGGTCAGTCACAAGCTCTGGCACAGCTGTCCTTGAAAAAGAGCCGTTTCTCTCAGATCTCTCTCAGCCCCACCCACCTCACAGGGTGCCTGTCGTGGGGAGGGGAAGGGAAAGGAGTTTGTAAGCCGCTCTGAGACTCCAAGTAAAGGGCGGGGTATACATCCAATCTCCTCCTCCTCCTCCTCCTCCTCCTCCTCTTCTTCTTGCCTGGACTTTAGGGGGCGCTCCATCACTCGAAGGGTGTTTAGGAGTTATCTCCTTGAATGGGATACCTCTCTTTGTCTTAACCTGGGAGCTGCTCTTACCTTCTTTGTCCTCTCACTTGCTTCTCATGGCCTTCCATGGAATAGGGTCGCCAGGTATGATCGTTGCGCCAGCAGGGAGAGCATTTCCAGGAGTAGGGAGGAACGTCACGATTTGCCTACATAAACCAGGACCGATTCCGCAAAAGCAGTTGTCCCGCCCTTGGTCTCCCGTTTCCCCTGGTTGTACTGCTCAGTGTCTCACTATTTGCTGCACAGCCGCATTTTGACCGGCTTCTCCCCCTGATTTCCCCTGAGTCTTCTTGACCCTAAAAAATAAGAATCAAGAAGACGCGGGGGAAATTGGGGAGAGATGCGGGTCAAAATGCGGCTGCGCAGCAAATAGTGAGAAATTGAGCAGTACAACTGGTGGGGAATCATAGAATCCTATGTCATGGGGAGGGGAAGGGAAAGGAGTTTGTAAGCCACCCTGAGACTCCAGGTGAAGGGCGGGGTATATATCCAATCGCTTCTCTTTTTTACAGCTGTTGACCTTATAACCTTAACTTGCTATTCAATTTTTCACTTTGCATAACTTAAACATCATCATGTTATGTGCTAATTTGCTGTCAGATCCCCGTCTATAAGTTTAGAACCTCATCTGCCATTCCAATGTATCTGAAAAAGCGTGCCTTGCGCACGAAAGCTCATCCCTTGAATAAACCTTTGTCAGGCCCGTAGCTACGGTGGGGCCTTCTGGGGCCTGCCCCCCTGACTTCTTCCCAAGCCTCCCCGACTTTTGGGGTGAAGCGGGGGAGGCCGCGCCTGCCTGCATTCCAAGCCGCAAATTTGTGGCTTGGAGTGTGGGTGCGTGGCCCCTGCTTCTCCCCCACAGCTTTTAAATGTGCTGAGGGAGAAGCGGGGCCGCAGGTGAATTTCAATGCCCCCTGACTTTTTAAAAGGCCCCCCAAACCAGGGGTCATTTCCTGCAGGAGCGCACAGGAGCGGAGCTCCGGCAGTAAAGAGCCCAGGGGGCGGGCACATGCAACAAGCCCCACCCCCCTGCTCCCAGCAGCCCCGGGCCACGAGGAGCAAGAAGCAGCCAGGTAAGTTGCAGTGGGTGTTGCCCTCTGACACACTTCCGGTGATGTCAGGGGGTGTGGCATATGCAAATAAGTTATGCTAATGAGTTATGCTAATGAGCTCCTGCGCCTCTTTTTCTACGAAACGACCCCTGCCCCAAACTAAGAAATCCTGGCTACGGGCCTGACCTTTGTTGGTCTTAAAGGTTCCTCCGGACTCTAAACTGGGTCTCCTTGAATAAAAGTAAAGTTTACCTTTCATGCAGTACACTTCTTGGGAGACGTATTTACTGCACACAGGATCACACTTCTACGACTGGGCAAAACTCTGCTCTGTGAACCAGATGTCCCGATGCCATGCTCACGTGTTCATGTGACATCCGGCACCTTCAGGATCCCTGCTAGCTTAGCGCCAACATCTGCCGAGGTTGCTCTCTTCTTGCTCTCCCAGTGAAAAATCTCACTCATCTCTGTGTGGCTTCCCCACAGGGTTTCTCATGCGCAAGGATCTCACTCCACGACAGCCTGCAAACCTGTGGCCTTTTCACAAGGAGGCCTGCCCTGGTTTCCTGCCCATTCCTGTTTCCTGCGTCCTGGCTCCCCACCCCTGTGGCCGTGCACGGACCCCTGGGCAGGGCTTCCTGTTGGCTCCGCAAAGCCGCCTCGGACCTGCCCTTCCCACAGGGACCGTTTGCTGCGTTGCCAGCCAAAGCCAGCACTTTAAAGGGGCTCGATTGCCCCCAGAGGATTGACCGGCTTTGTTCCGGCCCTTTCAGAGCATCTGCTCTCTTGCTGAGTTAAGCTCTTCTGCCCTGACCTGGATGGCCGGAGCCGGCCCGATCTCCTCAGATCTCGGAAGCTAAGCAGGGTCGCCCCTGGTTAGCACTGGGATGGGAGACCACCAAGGAAGTCCGGGGTCACGGCTGTGCAGAGGCAGGCAGTGGCAAACCACCTGCTTGTCTCTTGCCTTGAAAGCCCTACGGGGTCACCGTAAGTCTTCTTCTTCTAACCTGATCTCATCTGAATCTTGGAAGCTAAGCAGGGTCGGCCCTCGTTGGTGTTCGGATGGGAGGCCCCCAAGGATGTCCAGGGCTGCCTGCTACACAGAAGCAGGCAATGGCAAGGCCACCTCTGTCTCTCTCTCACCTTGAGGACCCTCCAGGGTTGCCATAAGACAGCAGCACTTGAGGGGCCCAGAGCTGTGTCCAGGCCCTCCGAAACGCCCTTTAAAGGGGTGTCTATAAGGAAAGTATGGAGCGGCGGTGGCTCAAGTGGTTAAGACGCTGAACTGCAGGCTGTGGAAGGTCGGTAGTTCAGCAGTTCGAGACCCGGGTTGCCGCATGACGGAGTGAGCTCCTGTCTCTAGTTCCAGCTCCTGCCAACCTAGCAGTTCGAAAGCAAGAAATTGCAAGTCGATAAATAGGGACCACTTCGGTGGGAAGGTAACAGCGTTCAGTGCGCCTCGGCGTTTAGTCATGCCGGCCACATGACCACGGAAACGTCTTCGGACAGCGCTGGCTCTTCGGCTTTGAAACGGAGATGAGCACCGCAACCCTAGAGTCGGATTCGACTGGCTTTCGAGCAAGAGAACCTTTACCTTTATAAGGAAAGTGGTTGCTAAGGGTTCTGTGGATGAGATGGATGGACTCCGTCAAAGAAGCCATGCCCTTCAGTTGCAGGACGCAAGCAAGGCTGGTAGAAATCCCAAGATTACCCACCAAGTAGCCAGTTTCTGTATGGCAAAGATTACGGAAATTCTATGGTAGTTAGGTAGTTATGGCAGTTAGATATTAGATTAAATTTTAATCTGTGTTTAACGTTTTACTGATGTATTTTAAAATCTTGGAACATCGTAAAGGTATACTTATTTTTGTACGGCTGGTCCAAGGACTGTAGAAATAAACTGAAACTGACAGGTTGTTAACAAGAGGACATTTTGGAGGCCATTCATTCAGAAGCGACTTAACACCACTTCACACACAAAGGGACTGTTATCTCCCTTTGCAGGCAAGTTTCTGGACTCTTTGAGTACCGGATTAAGACAACCTCTTTCCTTTGAGACGTTGCCTCAAGGAAATGAGATCAGAGCCGGGAGATACAAAGGACTTAATGGCTCGGCCCGGTGTGAGGACTTATTTGTGAAGGCACAGGAAGTCTTCCAAGAAAAAACAGGCCTCAGAAGACTGGATGTACAATTGGAAATGATTTCTCCTTAGGTGTCCAGGCGGGATGGATAGACGGGTGCCTAGCTGCTTCCTGGCTACCTCCACTGGATGCTTCCTGGCCTCTGCAGTGGAAGCTGGAAACTTGAGGGAGGTCCTCTTAGCTGGACCTGTATCCAGGCATGACGGATGCCTGGCTACTTCCTGGCCTCAAGCTGGAGGGAGGAGGCTCTTGGCTGAAGCTGTGCCCAGGCACGAAGCATACAGGGCTGCCTGGCCGCTTCCTGTCCCCCCCTTTGATGACCTCCATTTACATCTCCTTGCGATATGCACTTGCCGGGGTCATTTCATAGAAAAAGAGGTGCAGGAGCTCATTAGCACAACTTATTTGCATATGCCACCCCCCCTGGCATCACCGGAAGTGTGTCAGAAGGCAACACCCACCGCTCAGGCTCCACTGGACTGTTTCGGATTGCTAGCTATGGGGGGGACGGGGATGCGCAGATCTGCCCTCAGAGGAGGGAGAGCTCGTGCCTGAATAAAACTTGGCCTTAAAGGTCCCACTGGACTGTTTTGGACCGGGGAGGGGGGCTCTCCAACTTACCTGGCTGCTTCTTGCTCTGACTGAGGCCTGCTGGGAGCAGGGGGGGGGGGGCTTGTTGCATGTGCCTGCCTCCTGGGCTTTTTACTGCCAGAACTCCGCTCCTGTGCGCTCCTGCAGGAAATGACCCTTGTGCACTTGTATGAAACTTGAGTTTCATTCCCGACCACCAGATTTCATAGGACACGGTTGTAAAGACCGATTTCAGCGTTGGCGTTTCAGCATGGGTGGAGGGGCAATCTGACCCCTCAGCTGCCCCTCCCCGGCTGGCACTGAGGGCCCCTCCCTTCGTTTTGCAGCAAAAGCCCTTGCTGGACCAGCTGGGCCATTGGTTCCCGTTCCTGCAGCGTTTCCTCCGCCGGCGTTGCATTCTCTGCGGCTTGCCCGAAACCCGCAACTCGGTCCTCTGTGCGGGCCCCGACTGCGGCACTGTCTACTGCCGGCTGTGCTGGAAAGACATGGGCGAGGTCTGCTTTGCGTGTTGCCAGGACGACGTGGTCTCCAGCGACAGCACCAGCGAGGGGGAGACGGGCTATGCCGACTGAGCTGCGGCCGGGTGGGGTGGCTGTGTATTCCGTTATTAAATCACTGATTTGGTTCCTTCTGCTCTTCTGGTCCTCTTGAATTGCACCGGGGGTGGGTGGGTGGGAGTGCAGGTACTGAACTTTATTTTTTAAAACTCTGTTTACTTCATTTCTACACTGGCTCTCTCCCCAATGGGGACCCAAAGCGGTCTACATCAGGTGTGTCAAACATGCAGCCCGGGGGCTGTATCAGGCCCCCGGAGGGCTTCTAATCAGGCCCGCAGTGGAACTGGCTGTCTTCTGCCTCTTCTTCCAGTTCTGCTGCTGCTGCTGCGTCATCGTAGGTTTGCAGCTGACAGAGACACACCTGAACAGCATACTCAAGATTGCAACAGCCCAGACATTTTGATGCAATAATTCAGAGCAAGAGGTGTCAGTTATCAGACCCTGTTAAATAAACAAGATATTGCAAGAGGGCTAATGTTTTAAGCATGTTTTTATTTTAAGTTAAAAAAAGATCCTTGTGTTTGTGTCCTTTATAAAGTTTATATCTCTGCTACCTGGCATTACATTTTATGACACACACGTGGCCCAGCCCAACAAGGTCTCATTTATGTCAGATCCAGCCCTCGTAACAAATGAGTTCGACACCCCTGGTCTACATTGATCTTCTTCGTGGTATCTGTGCTTCACACCATCGGTGTGAATGCTCAGATGACCACTCGAAGATCACCAGTTACTGGTAAGCAACCTGCTTTTCTCCTCCCCCTTCGTTTTATTCTCACCACAACCATGCGAGGCTGAAAGTGTGTGACTGGCCTAGGTCCGTAGCTACAGTAGGGCTCTTGGGGGCTCCGCCCCCTTTCTTAAAGGCACAGCCCCACAATAATTTCTCCTGTAAATGCTTTTTTCCAATCATTTAAAAACATTTTTAAAGGCATGAACTCCTTTAAGCAGAGTGGGGTGCTACAGTTGACTAATTCCTGCAATGAGCAAGGGGGTTGGAGTAGGTGACCTCTAGGATCTCTTCTAACATTGTGTCAAGACACTGGTCTCCTTGAAGAGAGTTTTTCTGCCCAAGTGTTAGCTTTCTGGACTACAGAAGTCATCACCCCCCCCCACCCCACGTGCCGGCTTGCTCTCAGAATTGTTGCTTTGGCTGGGAGAAGTGATTAACTTGCAGCAGTTGAGAACTGTCATCTAAAGCGGGTGACAGCTTGTTATTTAGAGATCTATCCTGGTCACAGCTTTCTATTGGCTAAATGGCTTTTCTGTCTACACTGAGAACTGCAGCCCCACCAGGAAAAAAAAATTGCCCCACAAGCCACAAAATCCTGGCTATGGGCCTGGACTGGCCTAAGGTCTCCCTGCAAGCTGCCATGGCCGAGGGGGGATTTGAACCTGGGTCTCCCAGATCCTAGGGCAGGGATCCCCAGACTTTTCCAGGCTGCAAGCCCCTTTGGAAGTCTGACATAGCATGGTGAGCAACGTTCCGCCAGGCAGTTTGGTTGAGGAGAGCAATGGTCTGGGCTGGCACGCTCACATTCCCATCTCCCCTCTTGTATCCATCTTTCCCCTCCATCCAGGGGGCAGGTGGATACTGAAATTATCCGTCATCTTGGACACAGTGCTGTTTCTCTGATGAACTGTTTTAATGTATTTTGATGTCGTTTTAATTTTCTTTCTTTTTTTTAACGGTTTATTTAGTATTGATATCATACATTGTGTCTTACATATCAAATAAAATACATTTATCCTTGCGAGTCATTTTTTTGTTGCCTCTAACCAAACATAAAACTTCTTCCATCTTTGTTCAAATATTTCGTATTCTTTTCCCTGTAGCAATACATTTAATCTATCCATCTCGGCTATTGTCAACAACATCTTGTCTATCAGTTCTTCCTTAGGAGGAATTTTTTCTCCTTTCCAGTATTTTGCTAATATAATTCTTGCTGCTGTAAAAGTATATGTTATTAGGAATTTGTTCTCACTATTGTAATTACTTGGGATCATATTTAGCAAGGCTATCTCTGGTTTCACTGGTATGACTATTCCTGTAATCTCTTTTAACATTTCATATATTGTATTCCAGTACTTTTGAACTTTACCACATCTCCACCAAACATGAATAAAGGTGCCTACATTGCATTTACATTTCCAGCAATTTTTGTTGACTTTCCCATAACACTTTGCTATCCTATCCGGTTTTAATTTTCTTGTATATAGTATTTGCCTTTGGTGTAAGCCGCTCTGAGCCCTGTTTCATGGAAGGGCAGCCTAGCAACTTGAAATAAATAAATAAATAAAACAACCGGAACACCACACTTAAAATCCTCAGTCCCTGAAGCCTTTTATGCCTCAGCGACAAGCTATCTGATACAGCACCTGATCCCACTGGAATCTGACATCTTTCTTCAGAAGGCCTGTCCTCCCGTCTGAAGTTAGGCAGGCAACAGCAAAAAGAACAGGGCCTTTTTTTTGAGGCCCCCTGCTTGTGGAATACCCTCCCCAGCAACACTTACATGGCGCTAACTTTCCTTTTACGCACCGAGTCCGAACAGTGTTATTTTCCTGAGCTTTTAATGGGTGAGCTCTTTGCTTGTTGTCATTTTAATGGTTTCTGCTGTTTTAATTGTAGCTGTGGTAGTTATTGTTTTTGGAATTTGGTTTATTTTTATTTGATGTTTTTTCTCCCTATTTAGACAGGTTGTGGCTAAGTAGCTGAGCACCCATTTTGCATGCAGAAGTTCCCATGTTCAATTTCCAGCATCTTCACTTAGAAGCTCAAGTTATATGAAAGAGTCACTGCCAGCCAGAGAAAATAACACTATGCTAGATAGACTAATAGTTAACATAAGAAGAGCCCTGCTGGATCAGACCAGTGATCCATCTAGTCCAGCATCCTATCTCATGCAGTGGCTCCAACCAAGATGACGGATAATTTCAGTATCCACCTGCCCCCTGGATGCAGTGGCTCCAACCAGTTCCCCTAGAGGGCCAACAACAGGGCAGAGAGGCTGAGGCCTTCCCCTCATCAGAACATCAGAAGAGCCCTGCTGGCTCAGACCAGTGGTTCATTTAGTCCAGCATCCTGTCTCACACAGTGGCCTCAACCGGGTTCTCTGGCGGGCCAACAACAGGGCAGAGAGGCTGAGGCCTTCCCCTCATCAGAACATCAGAAGAGCCCTGCTGGCTCAGACCAGTGGTTCATTTAGTCCAGCATCCTGTCTCACACAGTGGCCTCAACCGGGTTCTCTGGCGGGCCAACAACAGGGCAGAGAGGCTGAGGCCTTCCCCTCATCAGAACATCAGAAGAGCCCTGCTGGCTCAGACCAGTGGTTCATTTAGTCCAGCATCCTGTCTCACACAGTGGCCTCAACCGGGTTCTCTGGCGGGCCAACAACAGGGCAGAGAGGCTGAGGCCTTCCCCTCATCAGAACATCAGAAGAGCCCTGCTGGCTCAGACCAGTGGTTCATTTAGTCCAGCATCCTGTCTCACACAGTGGCCTCAACCGGGTTCTCTGGCGGGCCAACAACAGGGCAGAGAGGCTGAGGCCTTCCCCTCATCAGAACATCAGAAGAGCCCTGCTGGCTCAGACCAGTGGTTCATTTAGTCCAGCATCCTGTCTCACACAGTGGCCTCAACCGGGTTCTCTGGCGGGCCAACAACAGGGCAGAGAGGCTGAGGCCTTCCCCTCATCAGAACATCAGAAGAGCCCTGCTGGATCAGACCAGTGATGCATCTAGTCCAGCATCCTATCTCATGCAGTGGCTCCAACCAAGATGACGGATAATTTCAGTATCCACCTGCCCCCTGGATGCAGTGGCTCCAACCAGTTCCCCTAGAGGGCCAACAACAGGGCATAGATGCCGAGGCCTTCCCCAGTTGTTGCCTCCTGGCACTGGGATTCAGAGGATGACTGCCACTGAACGTGGAGGTTCCGTTTAGACCCTATGGCTAGTAGTCACCAATTGACCTCTCTCCGTCTAATCCCCTTTTAAAACCGTCACTGCATCCTCTGGCAGTGAATTCCACATTTTAATCACTCGTTGTGTAATGAAGTATTTCCTATTGTCCATCTTGAATCTACTGCCCATCAGCTTAATTGGATGCCCTCAAGTTCTGGTATTTTGGGAGAGGGAGAAAAAGTTCTCTTTGTCCACTCTCTCTACCACAAGCATAATTTTATAAACCCTGTCATGACCCACCCGTCGCTGTACCACAAGCATAATTTTATAAACCCTGTCATCCCCAAACCCCTTCCCTCCCCCCCCCCCCGTTGTCTCTTTTCTAAACTGGAAAGACTCAGAATCTTCAGCCTTTCCTCCTAGGGAAGTGCTCTAACCCCTTAAACATCTTGGTTGTCGTCTTCTGTACTTTGTCCAGCTCTGCAGTGTCCTTTTGGAGATATGGTAACCAGAACTGTACAAAGTATTCCAAATGAGGCCGCACCATAGATCTGTGGAGGGGCATTACAATATTGGCTGTTTTATTTTCATTGCCTTTCTTAATAATTCCCAGCATAGGGTTTCCCTTTTAAAAATTCAGTTGAATTCAGAATACAAATTTAACCTTTTTCACAAATTCACAAAATGGACCGCTATATTATGCAGAATTCGAAGAAGAATTGGATCTATACCGTGCCCTTCACTACCCCAAAGAGTCTTGGGGCAATTTACAATCTCCTTTCCCTTCCCCTCCCCACAAGAGACACCCTGTGAGGCAGGTGGGGCTGAGAGAGCTCTTTCAAGGACTGCCCTTGAGAGAACAGCTCTGCGAGAACTTGTGACTGACCCACGGTAGAGTAGTAATACTTTAGTATTACTGTTTGAGTACCTGCTGGGTCCACTCACCTCCTGCTTGCTGCTTGCAAGAGGGGAACTATCTGAACGTCTCTGAATGAATTTAAATCTTTGAACTTTTTACAGCAATTTCCCCACATAACTAGACATTCACCCTGCCAGTTCTGCGTGCCATTACCTCTGATTTTTTGAAAGGCCACATAATAAAATGGGGGGGGGGAGTATGAGACTTTTGAGTTGAGCCTTATTACTTAGATGTCTCAGTTTACTTTTGGTGTCTGCCCATGAACCCAGATAATTTCTTGCTATCTGTTACCAAGGATCTGACACTGTCTGTTCAGGCACAAAAAGTAGGCAATGCAATCTAGCCAATATCAGTCATTTAAAGGATGCCTCCAGCCACAGAAGTACAAAGAGGGGCCAAACTACAAGCAATTCCATGCTTTATATAAGCTCGCCAATTTAGTGGCAATGATCTAATGACCATGATTTAAACAAGTAACAAATTAATGATTTCATGATTTAATTATCATGATTTAATGACCATGATCCTGAAAAAAGTGAGGATTTAGTTCTTAGACTGGGCAAGATTGGGCAAAACGTAGATTGGGAGGGCCAGTGTGGTGTAGTGGTTAAAGTGTTTGACTAGGAAACCCGGGTTCGAATCCCCACTCTGCCACGGAAGCTTGCTGGGTGACTGTAATGTATTCATCTCCAACCGTGTGCGAGGCTAGCTCGCCACGCGGTCATGCGAAGCCTCAGAGCTTTGCTCCGAGAGACAATGGGCCAAGCGGATCCTAGCCAGCACCAATCGGAGAGCTGGGGTCTTAGCCAGGACCTATGGAACTCTCGGCCACTGTAAATACCCTATCACGGTTGTGGGGGGGTGTCATGGGTGTGGGTGTCATGCAAATGAAAGCTGGCCTGTGAGCCAGGGTTCCTTGTCTTGTTCTCAACTTGAAATAAACGTATGAGCTGAAATCACTGAATCAGTCCCAGTACTTTTCAGTGACCCTGGGCGAATCACACACTCTCAGCCCAACCAACCTCACAGGGTTGTTGTGAGGATAAAACAGAGAAGAGGAGAACGATGTAAGCCACTTTGGATCGCCATTGGGGAGGAAAGGTAAAGGTAAAAGGTTCCCTTGCTCGAAAGCCAGTCGAGTCCGACTCTAGGGTTGCGGTGCTCATCTCCGTTTCAAAGCCGAAGAGCCAGCGCTGTCCGAAGACGTTTCCGTGGTCATGTGGCCGGCATGACTAAACACCAAGGCGCACGGAACGCTGTTACCCTCCCACCAAAGTGGTACCTATTTATCTACTTGCAATGTCTTGCTTTCAAACTGCTAGGTTGGCAGGAGCTGGAATTTGAGACGGGAGCTCACTCCATCATGCGGCACCCGGGTCTCGAACTGCTGAACTACTGACCTTCCACAGCCTGCAGTTCAGCATCTTAACCTCTTGAGCTACTGCAGCTCCATGGGGGAGGAAAGCAAGATATAAATAAATAAATCTCCTTTTCTCACAATACAAGAACTCGTGGGCACTCAATGAAACTGCTGAGCAGTAGGGTTAGAACGTATAACAGGAAGTACTTCTTCACCCAAAGAGTGATTGACACATGGAATTCACTGCCACAGGAGGTGGTGGCAGCTACAAGCATGGACAGCTTCAAGAGGGAATTAGATAAACATCTGGAGCAGAGGTCCTTCAGTGGCTTTTAGCCACAAGGTATAGAGAGGAACTCTCAGTCTGGGGCAAGTGATGCTCTGTATTCTTGGTGCTTGGAGTGGGGGGCAACAGTGGAAGGGCTTCTAGTGTCTTGGCGCTGCTGGTGGATCTCCTGATGGCACCTGGTATTTTTGGCCACTGTGTGACAGAGTGTTGGACTGGATGGGCCACTGGCCTGATCCGACATTGGCTTCTCTTTTGTTCTTAGGTTTATTTAACTATTGCATCCTGCAGTGACCACAAGGCTACTCTACCCCCATGGTGCTTTGCGCCAGACCAGCTTCACCAGGAAACATCGAGGTGACATTGAGGTGATCCGATCAGGGGCTCACCTGGCCTGGAACTTTAAGAAGATACCTTTCCCTGGCTGGTACACCCTGGAGAGCCAGTTTGGTCTCATGGTTAGGAGCGTGGACTCTAATCTAGGAGAACGGGGTTTGATTCCCCACTCTTCCACATGCAGCTGCTGGTGTGGCCTTGGGTCAGTCACAAGTTCTTTCAGAGCTGTTCTCTCAGGAGCAGACCTCGAAAGAGCTCTCTCAGCCCCACCTACCTCACAAGGTCTCCGTTGTGGGGAGGGGAAGGAGATTGTAAGTGGCTCTGAGACTCCTTCGGGTAGTGAAGGGCGGGGTAGAAATCCAATCTCTTCTTCTTCAGCCCTGTTAAAGACTGTGGCGGCAATGCTTCCGACACGAAATGTGCTCCAGAAAAGCTAAGCACGATTTTAAAAACTGCAGGTGCAGGAGGAGGAGGGTGGGACCTCGCAGGGATCATGGGCGGAGCTGGGCCAAATCTCGAATCTGGTCTAACAGGTTCACGAAATGGTAATGGAAGAGGCCGAAAACTGGCTCGGCTTCAGACCGGCGTTGCTGAATCCTCGTCCTCCCCCCCCCCTTTTGGGGGCAACAAGCCAAAATGCCACGCCTGGCCTCGCCTCTGCCCCCCTTCCCCTCCCCGCAGAGAAATCCCGGTGCCCCACCAGGGCAGGGCCTTTCGGAAGCGACTCCGCTTTGGCTCCGCTTCTTCGGGGCTGGGCGGAGCAGGGGCGGCGCCTTCCCCCGCCACGGGCTCCCCTGGTTGGGCGCGGCCGGGAGCTGGCAGCCGCAGGCCGGTCGAGCGCGCTTGGCCGGGACTTGGCACGGCTCCGGCGGGCGGCGGCTGGAGGAAGGTCGGGTCGGGCCGGGCAGGAAGTTCCCGGGCGGGCCCGAGGCAGCTGGTTGCTGCGCTGCAATGCGAGGCGGGCCGGAGAAGGCGGGAGGAGGGCGGAGGAGGCGCTGGCGGCGGCTGGGCCGGGCTGGAGCGGAGCGGAGCGGGGGGGGCCCGCCTCTTCTTCTTCTTGGCCCCGGCTCGGGGGAGGGATTTAGGCCGGGCTTCGGCGGCCGCCCTCGCTGCTGCTGCCGCTGCTGCTCCTTCGGCGCCAGGCTGCTCCGAGCTCGGGAGCCCTCCCCTGCGGACGCCCCGGCAAGGACGCGGCCACCTCTCCGGAGCCGGCGGCGCGCCAAGGCGCAGCGCCTTTCCGCAGCGCCGGGGGAGGCATGAGGCTGCTCTGGGGGCTCGGCGTGCTGCTCGCTTGCTTCGGAGCCGGAGAGCCCGCAGGGAGGAAGGAGCGCGGGAGGGTCCGCGGAGCCCACGCCACGGGTGAGTCTCGGCTCCCTCCTCCCCGGCCTCGAGCCTTTTCGGGAAGCAGCACGCGTGTTTTGTGGTTCACACGTTACTTCGGGGGGGGGGTGGCGGACACGGGCAGACTTGGGAGTGTGCGCGGTGATCGGTGGGCCCTTCCGCCTTTCTCCGAGGAGCTCGGGGCGGCATACGCAGGGTCCCCTCCAGTGTTCCCTCTAAGCTGAGTTAGTGTGAGCTAGCTCACAGTTTTTTAGCCTCTGGCTCACACATTCTTGTCTTAGCTCAGGAAAAACGCCTCCGGAGCAAACTAATTTACGCAGTAACCAAATCGCTTGCTCACAACTATAAAGCCAGTAGCTCACAAAATAGATTTTTTGCTCACAAGGCTCCACAGCTTAGAGGGAACATTGGTCCCCTCCCTCCCTCTCTGCTTTATCTTCACAACCGCCCTGCGAGGTAGGTTAGGCTGGCCCAGGGTCACCTAGGAATGTTTGGGACAGAGTATGAATTTGAACCCGGGTCTCCCAGGTTCTAGTCCGCTACTGTAACCCGCGACACCAGGCTGCTCCTTTACGGAATCTAAGGGAGGGGCCGTGGCTCAGTGGTAGAGCATCTGCTCGACATGCAGTTTGAATGCCGGGCATCTCCAGTTGGAAGGACCAGGTAGAAGGTGATGGGAAAGCCCTCTGCCTGAGACCCTGGAGAGCTGTTGACAGTCAGAGCGGGAGCCGTGGCTCAGTGGAAAAGTCACTGCTTGGCATACAGAAGTTCCCCGGTTCAATCTTTGGCATCTCCAGTTAAAAGATGATGTGAGAGACCCTGAAGAGCCACTCCCAGTCCAAGTAGACAAGGCTGACCTTGAGGGACTGAGGGTCTGACTCATGTGTTCCTGTGGACTCCTAAGTAAGCATTCGCAAGGCAACAGAGAACTTGATTGATGCCAAGGTGGAGCCCTGGTGCTGGTTTCCAGTGGCAGGGATTAACTCTGTACTGTATGATGTCAGAAGAGACGAATGTGCTGCTGAGCATGTGCAGGGTGCATTTTTTTTTGCATTGGAGTAAACTGCAGATAGCATCTACCTGACAATTCTGAGTGGGTTTCTGGATGCAGGGGTTGTCTTGCTGAATCGATCTTGGCAAACAGAAACACCTTCTGCCTGCTCCCCCTCATATTAGTCCCTGAATTTCCACTGGCCTGTCAAAAGCCCCAAATGTTTCCTGGGAGGTCAGTCCCCTTGAATTCAACAGGCTGATAAGCAGAATTGTGAGGGACTGCAGCCTTTGGTGTCAGCCTGAATAATAGCGTCATGTGTGAACGCTGCAAACGAGTGTTTGAAAAATGTGCTCATTCCTCTTGAGAGCAGGTACGGCCTGCTTCCATTTCGGATTGGGATCCAAATGCTCAGCATTTGGCAGGTCAGGGATTAATTCTTCAGCATCACAGCCCTGATGGAAACCTCTCCTGCCGATCCTCTTTGAGGCTCAATTCGACATGGGAAGATGTAGTAGAACCAAGTTTGAGTCCAGTGGCACCTATAAGACCAACAGTGTGAGCTTTCCTGTGCGCACACTCTTCCTCAGACGCATTGACGTGGACGTTAACAGTCCAGACATAGAGGCAGACGGTGGACAGCAGATTAGCATACAACATAATGAAGATGTTTTAACAGATGCAAAGACCAAACAGGAATAATAAGTTAAGTTTATATGGTCACCATTTGTTTGGATTTAATTACGGGGGGGGACGCAGTTGAGCAAATAAATATGTCGAAATAGGAGACTAATGTGTAAATGTATCCTTAATTGTGGAATGCTAAGAGTAAACAACTGAGATCCTGTCCTTATACTCCATTCATCTCCTCTCGGTAACTAACGTCCCTTTCTTTGAGGTGGGGTGAATGGTTGTCCAGTGTTATGTCTCCTCTGTCACCAAATCAGTGAGATACATTCCAATATTCATTGCATTACATTACAATCACTATTCTAATCTATTATTCCTAATAAGAAATACACTAAAATATAGCCCTTCTTTGTGCATATACCAAAGACTGAAAGGACTGGATGAGTTTAGCTTATGTAGTGAGATAAGAAACCAATATCCCTGTTAAGTCTGGGGGGTGGGGTTGTTCTGAGTATTGTAAAGGTAAAGGTTCCCTTGCTCGAAAGCCAGTCGAATCCGACTCTAGTGTTGCAGTGCTCATCTCCGTTTCCAAGCCGAAGAGCCAGCGCTGTCCGAAGACGTTTCCGTGGTCATGTGGCCGGCATGACTAAACACCAAGGTGCACGGAACGCTGTTCCCTTCCCACCGAAGTGGTCCCTATTTATCTACTTGCAATTTCTTGCTTTCGAACTGCTAGGTTGGCAGGAGCTGGAACCAGAGATGGGAGCTCACTCCATCATGCGGCACCCGGGTCTCGAACTGCTGAACTCCTGACCTTCCACAGCCTGCAGTTCAGCGTCTTAACCACTTGAGCCACCGCAGCTCCCTGAGTATTGTAATACCTTGTAATTCAGCAGTTTCCCTTTCCAGTCTGTTCGTAGAAGGTTGAAGTGTTCTCCTGCGGGTTTCTCAGTCTTGTGATTCTTGATATCAGATTTGTCCTAAACTCATTTGTGCTAAACTCATTTGCTTCCCATTTTTTATTATTTCGACTGACAAGGTGGCTCTCTGGGGTAACAGGCCTGAATAAACGGATCTCGACCTCCCAGGATTCCTAGGTTCTGTCTCCAGTTACTAGAACAGGGTTGGGATGAAGCCGGTTCCTGGTTCCCAGCTTCCCGTCTGCACAGAACTAAATCTGAAATGTGCTCCTGCCTGCACCCAAAACACGGGTGAATACTCCAAGAGAGTTCTATGCTGGGAAATCCAGGCATGTTATTTGCTCCTGAAAAGCAGCAGCTGTGTGGTGAACTGCTGACATGGATCGGGGCCATGGAACACGGAAGGGGGTGGTTTTGCTTTTTCGTGTTATGCCATTTCACTGATTGGAGATCCCCCCCTCCCCCCCCCCAGTAACTTTAGTAGGGAAAAAGACAGGCTTCTCTCCTGTGCCTGTCTTTTTCCCACCTACAAGGGCTTACGCCACTCTGGAGGCCATTTTGGATTGGAGAAAAAGTGCTGGGGTAGAGTTAACCTTTACCTGGTGTAGACTGACACCCCCCCCCCCTTGCTAAGTCAGGCCTAACGCCACCTTGGGAGCTCCAATTTTGATCCTCCAATTTTGTGCATAATTTGGCCCTCCGCTGTAACGTAGCTCCCGTGTAAAGCTGTCTGGGGTGAATGTCAAAACAACTTCTGGAGATGGCAAGAACTTTGTATCATTGTTTGCCGGCCCCCTTGAAAGAGTTTCTAAACTTGGCTCACTTCCTCTCTCGGGGCCGCTTCGAAGCTGGTCGCGGCCCGAGAGGGGAGCTTGTGTGTGTTTTACATAGGAACGGGCTCTGCTCACGCGGTGTATCTCAAACATACGCGCCCACCTGTGCCGGCAAAGCTTTGTGTGCGCCAAGCTGTCCCGAGTGGTCTGTCTTTCCGAGGTAGAAAAGGCCCCTGCCGTTTAAGCCGCTAAGCCTTTTAAACGTTAGTTCAGTCGTGGCTCCGCGCGGAAAGCCACAAACGGGGGAAGTCCTTTCTCCTCTGTCTGAAGAAGCAACATACCGTGGAATGCACTTCCGACTGTGTGCAGAATCCGACCAGAGAGGAAGTCCACAGGCAGGGCATGAAGATAGCAGGCCTTCTTCTGTCCAGTTCAGAGGTAGACTGCGTCTGAGTGTGGAGGCTCCGTGTCACCACATTGTTAACTCAATTAATTGATCTGGAATAATTGGGATCCCCCCCCCCCAACTAAACCTGCAGGCTGTGGAAGGGCAGTAGTTCAGCAGTTCGAGACCCGGGTGCCGCAAGATGGAGTGAGCGCCCGTCTCTAGTTCCAGCTCCTGCCAACCTAGCAGTTCGAAAGCAAGAAATTGCAAGTAGATAAATAGGCACCGCTTCGGTAGGAAGGTAACAGCTTTCCGTGCGCCTTGGTGTTTAGTCATGCCGGCCACATGACCACGGAAACGTCTTCTGACAGCGCTGGCTCTTCGGCTTTGAAATGGAGATGAGCACCGCAACCCTAGAGTCGGATTCGACTGGCTTTCGAGCAAGGGAACCTTTACCTTTACCTTTTACAACAACTAAACAGACATCTACCGGTACTTGTTACAGCCAGAACTCTGCGTGTGCCAAAAAGGCACCCCCTCCCTTTCTTGCCTCTCCAGAAAGGCCAGAATGAGTGGCATCAACCAAGAACTTTGCTGAATGAATCCAAGGGCCCCTTCAGCATCCTGTATCCCACAACAGTCGGCCAGGTGACCACGTTGGGGTCAGGAAGCAATTTTCTCCCGGCCAGTTTGGTTAGAGATCCTGGAGGGTTCTTTTGGTCATCTTCTGGACGTGGAACAGTGGTCACTGGGGGAATGTGGGGGAGGTATTTGTTGAATTTTCTACATTGTGTAGGGCAGTGTTGTCAAACTCATTTGTTACGAGGGCCGGATCTGACATACATGTCACTATGTCGGGCCGGGCCATGTGTGCCAGAAAACATAATGCCGGGGACCAGAGATAGAAACTGTATAAAGGACAGCAGCTGCTAAGCTCCGTGTTGATGTATCATCACTGCAAGGCCCCATGGGCTGGGGCTGTGAGGGGGATGCAGAGGAAAACCCACACGGGCGGACTGGAGAGACAGCAGTGCAGCACTGAGCAGATGTTCCCGCACTGCTTGACTGCTGCCGATGATGAGGTTGTTCTGCCATGCTGAAGCCACAATCGGAGTGGCTCCGCCCCCTCCTCCCAAACAGTCTCCTGTTCCCTCCCTTGCACTAGTTGCTCGCGGGCCGTATAAGAGCCCTGCCGGGCCTTATGTTTGACACCCCTGGTGTAGGGGGTTGGACTAGTTGACCCTGGAGGTCCCTTCCAACTCTGATTCTGGGGAGCCCATGGGGCAGCAGCCCCCTCCCGTTCCAGCATCTGTTACTCA